CTCTTCCCCAGGGGTCATCTGGATTCACTTTCAAATGGGGCCGAAGTATAAATCCCATTTAATGGGGATCTTCAGAGACCTTCAGGATCCTTCAGGAGCAAGGGAAGCTGAGGGACCTTGTGCTGACTGTGCTGCAGCTCAGCACAACATGGGAAAAAGAGCTCAGAGATTAATTAATGGATTTATGGGGATGCTTCAAGCCAGCCCCCCAGCCCGGGCACCCACGTGGCACGGCACAGCAGCAATCTGAGGGAGTTTTGGTGCTGGAGAAGAAGTCTAGATGGATGCTCAAGGGAAAAAAGGGATTCTGGCTTAACAGGGGTTAAAAAGACCTCTTTCCAATCTTACTCCCAAGGCCATGTTGGCATGGGGAGGCAGTCCCGTGGCATTTGGTGATCCTGCTGAACACTGGGTGCCAGCTCTCTTGACACCTCAATTCATGCTGGGGCTGAGTGCTCCTGGATGGACAGGATGGTCAAGGAGAGGCAGGGACAAGCGTTGTGGCCCTGCTCTGGCCATTGGTCAGGTGGAGAATGTGCTGAAAGGTTCCTGAGCAGTTTGCCAAACCCTGCCTGGGGTCCCTGTATCTGCAGTGACACCCCTATACTAAGCTATGATGTCCCAGATTTGGGGTGTTTCAGGATCAATGGGGATTATAAATTGGAGCTGGCAGATATGGATGGATGGCTGGATGGATGGATGGATGGATGGATGGATGGATGGATGTCAGAATCCGCAGCCCATGCAGAAAGGAGTCTGGCCCTAGCCACCTGTCTGCTCTGTACCTCCGTTTACCCCCCTCACCCACCACAGGGACCCTCTGCTAAAGCTGGACAATGCTGGAGGCTCTGTAGTGGGCCATGAACGGGGCTGGATGAGCAGACACATGGCAGAGAATTAGGGGGGGAAAAGGAGAGGCACCGCTGGGAAAGTACACCCGAAAAGCAGCAGTGAGGTACTCCACCCCCCCAAGCCCTGTCACCAGGAGACCTGATCCAGCCCTGGGGAATGTGCAGCTGTTTGTGCAGGGGATTAGCCCCAGGGTCCACACCTCAGCCTGAGTGTCCCATCCCAACCCAGCCTGCAGGCAGCACCCAGGACACTCCCTGCTAGTGATCATTAGGGACCAGAGTGAACACCATGAGGCATATTACCTTGTTCCAGAGTACCCAGGGGAGGGAGAGGAACAGTCTCATCCCTCTGTAAGGGAACCAGGAACCATGACATAAACTGTGGTCAAGCTGCTCAGTCACTGGCCATGCCTCAGTTTCCCCACATTTCCTCTCATCCAAAGCCCAGTCAGGAGCAGAGCTATGTCTCCATCTCCATCACCCTCAGAGCCAGAGGGAACCACATATTCCCATGAGGAGTCAGAGCTGCTTCTTCAGGGCAAACCCTGGACACCTCTGCTCCCTGCAGAGGCGAGGCCGGGACACTTGGAACATCCCCGGGTAGTATCCAGAGTTGGGGGAGACAGAAGGGCTGAGAGTCATGCAGGCCCAGGCGGTGTTAGGCAGACAGAAGTGGCTGTTCCCAGCGCCGGCATTCCCCACAGCTGCTTCCTGCTGCCCTATCTCACGGGCACATCTGGGGAGTTGGGAACAGCTGCCACCGCTGGCGCTTCCTGCGCTGACCCCCCTGCCCTTGCCACCATTCTCACACCTCCCCCCAGGGCTGGACAGAGCCCACCCCTTCCCCTCTCCACCTCTGACACAGCAGCAGCCCCTCTGAGTCCCATCTGAACCCTGAGGGGTCTTTTCCCTCCCAGGTCCATTTTGGGGCACCCCCAATGTTTTGGGGAAACTGGAGCATCACACCCCCCTGTTACTCCAAGGGGCCCAAAACTGATCAGCTCATGCCATGTGACCCCCATAATCCAGGCCTTGGTGGAGGGGACCACGTGGGTATCCCCAGCGGAGTAGGTGATGAGGTGCTGTGCCACTACTGGAGGTACGCTCACAATCTGGTGCTCTGCTCCCTTCTTCCTCCAAGTTTTTGCTTCCTCCCTTCCCAAATTGCATCCATCAAAATTGCATCACTGCAAAAGGAGGAGGAGGATAGGGTGGGGGGTGCAAAGGCTGCAGGTGTGAACAACCCTGCTTGCCCCCTTGCTGCTGCAGGTGTGGAGACACTGGGCTGACTTAGAGGAGCCCAGGCCCCGCTGTCACTGCCAGGGTGACAGCAAGGCAACTCCTGCCTCCCACAATATCCTCCCAGAGCTGGCATGTGGCAGCAGGGGAGCAGTGGGCACCCAAACCTGGCACCATCTTTGCCACAGCCTCCCCACAAATGTCGGGTGCTGCAGCCCTGGCACAGTCCAAAGAGGGGAAACAGACACGGGGAAGAGGAGCCCAGTTTGTGTTATATGGGAGTCCCAGAAGGAGTTTTGCTGCTCCCTGCAGACCCTGCCCTCAATCCCTCCCTTTCTCAGTACCCCAAATTCCTCCCTCCAGGTCCTGCTTTTCTGCAGGATGTGGGTTTGCCAAGTTGCCTTATTACACTCAGAGACTGTTACAACTCATCACACCCTCCACCCTGCATTGCCCAGCCCTAAATCACACCAACCCCAGCAATCCCAGATCCTCTCCAAAACCCAACACAAGCCCCTGGCCAAGCCACCCATCCCCACTACCCCCAGAAAGCCACATTGCACAGCATCACAAAGAATAGCCCCTCCATGGAAAAACATGGAGGGAGGTGGGGGGAGAGATGTTTTACCTGGGCCCCCATCTGCCCCTAATAAGGCTGGTTTATTTTTAGTGGAGGTGAAAGCCAGAGCAACCAGCTCAAGAGCTTTTTCCACTCACATCTGCATTTGTAAAATTTGGGTTTCCTGTTGTGGTTTCAGGGCTTTTCAAACCTGCCCAAATTATTATTTTCTTTGCTTGGCAAAGGGCGCCACAGATCCCTCCCTCTGTATCCTCAGTATAAATATCTTGCCAGCATCTCTTCCCCAACCTCCCCTCTATAACCTCTCCATTCATCTGGCCCCTGACATGCCAATGTCTTGGAATGGGATCCAAGCCTCCCCATGGGGCTGGGATGCTGGTGGAAGTTCAGACTCGACCAAATAATTCCTGTCCCGGATCATGCCTTTTCAGCCTCAGCATGGGATGAGAAGCCACTCTTAAGACCCTGAGCAGGGAAACTGGCAGGGATGGTGTCAGTGCTCTATTTTGCAGATGGGCCTCCCCACCTTGTTCATCCCCAGGGGCCTTTGGGTTGTGTGGCCATGCTGGGTTTAAGCAGGAGTGGGAAACAAAGGTGGGGGGTGAGGGTTGTGCCCTCCCTCTGCTGGGAACCCACTCCACAGGGATGCACCCAATTAATCTCAAGTGGGCCAGGGAATGGAGTAGGTTTGGCTTGGCTCAGGCACTGGGGGAAGACACCTGGGTGTACTCCCCAATTTCTTCTGACACAGTTTCCATCCTCCTGGAGCAGATGCCACGTGAGGTGCAGTGGCAGGGTGAGGAGGGGCTCTTTTGTCTTTCCCCTTCTTTTCCACATCCCTGCAGGAAAGGGGGTACATGAGGGTGCCCCCTCAGTACTCCTCCAAACCTACTGGAGCTGTGGCTGCACAATCCAAGGACCCCTGGGGAGCGGCCAAACTGGGGGTCCCCATTCCCAAACCCCAGTGCTGAGACTGTCCCTGCCTCAGTTTCCCCACTCAGAGTTTAAAGGCAGCTTCTACCTCTCTTGTTGGGAACGCAAGCCAAAATCCAGGCCTGGAATGATGTGGTCCAGCCCCAGTGGTCCAGTGGTTTCTCCGTGCTTTGGCCCCTCTCCTTATTCCAGCAACCGGGGACAGGGGTGCAGGGGTCCTGGGGGAACCACTCACAAAGCATTACATTTGGGCACACCCATGTCAGTCATCCCCTTCTGTGAAACCCCGTTGTGGTTGCCCTGTCCAGCACCATTCCTTGGGATGTTGAGGATACTGGAGTGCAAGTCTGAAGGCAAGGGTCTCCTGTCCCTGTCCCCAGCTCATTCTATAGAGACAGCTGCTGCACCAGCTGTGGGGCCAGGTGCCGGAAGCAGACATGAGCTTGCTTTCTCACTGCTTTTAGTTACTTTTTTTTTCACTCTCTGTTCACCCAGGGAACTTCACTTTCTTCAAAAATGTGCCAGTGTGTGTTCCCATTGTGGGGCTGGGGACAAGTCCCGTGCTGGACTCGGCCAGGGAAATGTGCCAGGGACGTGATGGCATCCTCTGTGCCCCATCCATGGAATTGGGGGGAACATCCAGCAGGATGTGGGAACCGCAGGTTCTTACAGCCTGTATGTCCTGAGCATGTCCCTGAGCATGCCTACGCTCATCCCTTCTGTACCCGTGTGCCACCCCCACCCGGACGGCAATGTACTAGGTTTCGTGTGCGCACGATTTACCGTATGTACGGCTCGTACCCTAAATGCCGTATAGGCACGCACAATTCCCCCGCCGGGCGGGAGCCAGTGCGGCTCAGCACTGCCATCCGGTGGGAGAACCCGGCGCTATAGCTTCTGTGGCACACGGACACACGGACACACGGACACACGGACACACGGACACACGGACATGGCGCGCGCGGACACCGGTCTGCCCCCTCCAGTCCCCCGGACTGCTGCCCCTTGCATCTGCCCCCACAATAACCATCAACCCCAGGAGACTCATGGACTGCCCAGCCCCTCCCCTATCACCAACTGGGGCCCAACCCCCAATATCCTTCCCTGCGGCAGACCACAGGCCCACCTCCCCCAGACAGCACCCATGAGTGCGTCCCCACCCCCACCCAGCGACCCACCAGAACCCCCACCAGCCACAGCCATGGGACCGGCCAGGACAGAGTAGGGCTCACAGAGCTTTAATCAGAGGGAGCAATTGGCACTGTGGGGTGGCAGGACAGCCTAGAGGACATGGGGACAGCCCCTCAGGAGAAGATGGGGCAGGTGACCCCAGTGCCCTTCAGGCCACAAGAGGCCCCAGGCTGCTTGTACAGGTACTGCTGGTGGTAGTCCTCAGCCTAGTAGAAGTCCCCGGCTGGTTCAATGGTGGTCGTGATGTCCCCACGCCTCTCTGCTCCCAGTTCCTAGGACAGTCTCATGGCAGGGGGAGCCTGGAGGAACCCCCCACCCCACTGTCCCACACATGACACAGCTAGGGCGGGGTCTTGTCCCATACTCCCAAGCTGGGGAAGGTGGCTGGTGTCACAGTGTCCCCAGAATGCTTCATAGTGTCACATTGTGGGGGGTCCAGTGTCCACAGGGGGATCACAATATCCTCAGGGTCAGTCCTGGTATCCCCAGAGAGTTGTAGTGTCTCATGTTGGGGAAAGTTTGAGTCCCCCCAGGGCATGTCCCAGTGTTCCCAGGGGGGCACAATGTTCACAAGGTATGTCCCAGTATCCCCAGGGGCACTCCTGGTGTCTTCATGGGGGACCAGGGGACCCAAGAGGGGTTCTCGTGTCTCGAAGTGATGTCTCAGAGTCCCCAGAGGCCTCTCAGCGTGACCAGCAGGGAGCCCAGTGTCCACAAGGGTGGTTACAGTATCCCCGGGGTGGGTCTCAGTATCACCGGGGTGGGGGGATTCCCAGTGTCCCCAGGGCGGTCTCTGTGTCTCATGAGGGGAACCCCGTGTCCCCAGTACCTGCTGGTACATGTCCCTGCTTCGGAGGGCAGCTCCCTGCTGCTCAGGGCCCAGTGTGTAGATGACAGAGCGATACTGAGTTCCTACGTCCTCCTCCTGCCGCATCCCTGGTGGGCAGCAGCCAGGATGAGGGTTACAGAGCACCATAACCGGGCCTCACAAGGCATTCCCCAGGCCCCACCGGGCTCTCCTTGGGCCCCATTGGCCACTGCCCTCACCCGTGGTGGGGAAACAGAGGCACAGGGGGCAAGGTGGGGGTCCTGTTAAAGGGGTCAGTGAGGTAAGTCACTGCAAGACCATCCCAGCATCCAGCGCCAAAGTGGGGAGATGCCAAGGACTTCCTGTTGGACCCTGTTTGGGGTTAAACCCCCCAAAATTAGGTCTGCTCCACGTGTTGCCCACCACATCCAGCACCAAGGGATGGAGATGGCAAGAACCTCCTGCCGGAGCCCATTCAGGATTAAGCCATCCAGACCCTCCCATGGCCCGGCTCCAGGGGCTCATCCCTACCTTGAGTGGGGTCATGGTTCTCCCAGAAGACTTTGAGAAGCTCCTCATAGCTGATTTTCTGGGGGTCAAAGACCACCCTCACCACCTCAGCATGCCCAGTCAGCCCTGCAGCCAGAGCCAGCTCTGCTGCAGCCTCTCAACCCTGCCCCACAACCTCCTACTGCCCTGGAATAACAGAGCTGGAGGGAGGGATATGGAGCGGATGCAGCACTGCCCTGTGTGCACATGCCCTGCACTGCCCTGGGACCCCCATCCCCAGGTCCCCAGCAGGGATGGGATACACAAGCCCGTCCCACAGTGGGATAAATCCCTGGCTGGACATGGCATCTTGGGTAATATTCCCTGCAGACAGCTAATCCTCTGCAAAATATCTGTCCAGCTAAGCCCGGGCCGTCTGTCCAGGCTGGGGGACAGGGAGAGCTGGGGAATAGGTGCATCGGAATCCAATAGACACCAGAGAGCATCCCATGGGATCCAGGCGAGGGAAAGGCAGGGGCTGTGGGACACCCTGCAACGACGAGTGCGGACAGAATCCCACTGCGGGGGCTGTGGGGGTGACTAGGGGGTCCCCATGGCATCATGGGAGGGGAAGCTCCTCGTTACCTGTGCACACCTCTTTGTAGGTGGGGTTTGGGGTGAAGCCTCCTGCAAACCCCACCTGGGTGGAGAAGACCCCCAGAGTGTTCCAGAAGAGCTGCTCGGCCCCCCAGAAGCATCCCATACCTGTGGGAGGAGAGGTAGGAAGGGTGAGCGGGGCTGGCGGGGTGAGCAGGGCAGCTCCAGCTGCCGTGGCACTCCCTTCCGTGGCACTGGAGAAATCACTCACCAAAGATCGCCATCCGCATGTGTGCTGGGAATGGCGGAACTGTGGGGTTCCCACTGACAGCGTGGGTAGCTGTAGGGGGGACACCGGGTCCGGACTTTCAGTCCATCCCAAACTGCACCCACCTCCACCATGGGAACTCATCCTGCACCCTCGGGATGGTGCT